CCACTACCACTACCACTACCACTACCACTACCACTACCACTACCACTACCACTACCACTACCACTACCACTACCACTTCCACTACCACTACCACTACTACTACTACTACTACTACTACTACGAACACTACGAACACTACGACTACCGCTACCACTGCCACTGCCACTGCCACTACCACTACCACTACCACTACCACTACCACTACCATTACCACTACTTACCACTACCACTACCACTACCACTACTACGACGACGACGACTACTACTACACGACGATCACAACTACCACTACCATGACCACTACCACTGCTGCTACTACGGCTACTACTACTGTTACTACTGCCACTGCCACTACCACGGCTGCTACTACTGCTACTACTACTGCCACTGCCACTGCCACTGCCACTGCCACTGCCACTGCCACTGCGACTGCGACTGCGACTGCGACTGCTACGGCTGCGGCTACGACTACGGCTACGACTACTACGACGACGACTACGACCACGACCACGAGAAAGAGCACGGCCACTACCAGACTGAATCTTTGGCTTGAGGACTTTGGGTGCATTTATCGTTCAGAGTTCAAAGGCTCATTCGGGGGTCTAGGGCCTTAAGGAGAAAGGCTGACGGGTTGAGTCAGGATTCTGGCGTCGAGGACTTGCGTCTGACAGGTCGAGCGTGACCGTCAGTGTCTCAAGATTTCCGGTTGAGGATAATAAAGCCAAACAAGTCAGTTTAGGGTCTGGGGTCGAGCTCCGATACATTCGGTATCAGTTCTCTGACTCTCCGAGACCGCCGAGACCGTTGCATCCAAGATGCCGCGAGGCCGGTTGCACCTCCAGAAACTCCAAGCGTGGCCGCACCGCCAACGACTCCGGCGGCTGTGGCCTCGAGATTCGGAGATGCGGGCTAAAAATCGCTAGGTGGACTTATAGTGTGCTGCTTCACGGAGCGACATTCTGCCCATGGAGCTCGCCTGCACGTGCTTGTCGTGGACCACCTGAACAGCAACGACCGGTCGTGTCTCAGCTGCAGCTGAAGATCTTCCTGACGAAAACGCCTCTTCTTGCAAGGATGGCCGCCATCTCATCTGTTCGAACCCAACTGAATCGGATCTCTTCCCCAGAGGAGCCCTGATTTCTGATCCCACTCGCCTCCTTGGCTTTGTCCTTGGCCTCTACCGCCTTGGTCTTGGCGGTGTCAACGGCTTTCGCCTCAGATCATGGGGGCCTGATCTCGTTGAAACGAGGCGATGCGAGACGACAGAATACCGCGGACATGCCAGCTATCCGTCCGAGACGGCGACACGCGATATCATGACATGATGAGCCGGTGCATGCCCATACAGGCTAAGATGGTCATTTGATGAGCACGAGAGCGGCCCGGCACTTGTTGTCAGCTCAAAGCCCCTGCCCTTTCGTGAACCACAGCTGAAGACGTAGAAGGAGCTCCCATACGTCCGATCTTGCAATGAATTGCAGATGCGCCGCAGCATTGCTCTTCCCCTTGGCCTCGCAGCTAATTTTCGGCAAAGAACCAAGGGAACTTGCTTTCAAGTCCAGATTCGTCTCTGTGGCGCTGGCTGCGCATGTGTCCAGCAGCGAGGGCTTCGGGCACTCACTGGTCGATTGACCACAGACAGATGGAAAAATCGCAAGGTCCGCAAAGAGAACTAGATCAAATACCAGTTGATTTCAGTGTGGCTACCAGCGGCTGACGAGCAACAACATGTTGTCCTTTTCCGAGCTCGGCCAAATGCGATCGCACTGTCTGTCGTACTACAGCTGAGTAAACTACCACTCAACAGTCTCAACAGCATGATTGGCCTGGATCAAAAACTAGTCTAGAGAATGGATGTCACATCAGACTGGACAGCGCTGCGGGAGAATGGACAGTGCGTGAGAGGTGGGAGGCCAGAAGCACACACCGGGCGGTGTAGTCCTGAGCAGAGCCCTGAGAATATTCCCTGCCAAAGTAGCCTTTGTTCTGCTTCGCTGCTTCCTAGACGCAATCGACCAGTGCCTTAGGCATCCAGAAAAGGCGATGGGCTTGCCTGAATCTCGTCCATCAGGAAGGCGGCTAACCGGTTCGCATCTCCGAGAGGGAAGAGATTCATGAATAGCTCTAGCCTCCTCACGACGACCCAAAGTCGCCGCCCCCTTTGGCGCCAAGAGCAGGCACTCCGCCACACCGTCCTCCGCATGTCCTTGAGGATGCTCCATGCCGCAAGCTTCATCACCGCCGAACTGGGCTTTCAACAGGCACAGGCTGGGCTTCATAGTTCGTTCTTCCAACTGCCAGCAAAAAATAAAGAACTCGACCGTGATCTGTCATGCGATACCGTCTTGCCCGCTTGGCCCCGCTTGGCCCCGCTTGCCATGGTCCTTTCCGTCCCGTCTCACAAATGATGATTGCCATGCGGGCATTGCTGGCCTGGCTCTCGCCCCTATTCTCGGAAGCATGGATACGGCCACCAGGAAATAACCGAAGCAGGAGGCGCCGAGCATGGATCTGATAGATCAGTCCTGTTTACGTACTTGGCTGAGTGCTTCGCAAACAGCGATGCAACGCTCTTTGCGAAGCACTCCACCAAGCACAGCTGGAGGCCCGCCACGGTGAGGGTGTGACAGTCCTCATGTCTGCTTCACACTTCGGCCACCCGAAAGTGGCCGAGGCTTGGCGAACAAAAAGAAATGGAATGGGTCAGGAACAACCAGCTGACTATATCGAGCCAAAGGTGATCCACGTGTCGGTTGCAGAGGGAGCACTGTCAGACTCTCGACAACACACTAGACATCGCTTCGGCGCATCTGCCTACGCCCGATACATCGTCCTAGCTCAAGCATTTCAGCACAATCCAACTCAAGAGCGCCAGAATGCCAGGAAAAAATGGATGATCATTGGGTTGCTCCTGGAGCGAGCTTACTCATCGAACCACCTTTCTGAGGCTCGGGCATAGGTGTCCAGCACAGTCTTTTTGGCGTTGAGCATGCGTGTCTGGATGCCGGTTTTCACCTTCGGCTGGGATCTGCGGTTTGGTCCGGCTTGGTTCTACTAGCACGACGCAGAAATCTCAAAACGTGCACAAACAACAACAGCAATAGTCATAGCATGAAGGACAGCAAGAAAGTCAGAACTGGCTGAACCCCCGAATGCTCTCAAACAGCCTCAAACTCGGATCAGAAGGTTGAAGACTGGGACTCGAAACCCCAACCTCTCTCCAAAGAGCTTGACACTAATTCTTTGCTCTAGGCCCTAAACTCCCCCTCTGCAGACTTCCAAGCCCGAATCCCAAGTAACCTGAAACTATACTCTCGGGCCCTAGCGCAGTATGCTAAACCAAGCTCTTTGCCGACATGGGACGGACTGAGTCATCGCCTTAGTCGTGTCCACAGACCATTGGACCTGACCTCGCAAGATGTTGGGCTTTGCTGGAACGGGGGGACTGCACGACTTCGGAGTAGTTGAAAAGAACATGCGTCGGTTCGTGTGTAGCATAGTTGGCAAGCTAAGGTACGTTCATGGCAATCGGGATCTAGCATCTAGCATGACACAATGCCGCAAAAAGTCGTGCAATTAAATGAGACAATGTGAACACAAGAAATACAAGAGGCACGGAACGATCGCCTTTGCAACGCAGCACATCGAAATACAGTGTAATATATCACAACCGACTGCATGGGCAGTTTTGCTTTCATCGTTCTGTATCGACTGCCCTATGCGGAATACAGTGTAGTTTCGGGCTTCCTCTGCATCTACCCCGCCCAACCGTGACTTCGAGCATGAAGCTTTCGTAACGCATGCATTGGCTGCTGGCGAGACAAGAATTGCCCAAAGCCTGCATTAATGCGCAGCATCAGTCTTGATATGCAACTCAGCAACTCCCTCAGCTCGTGAGTCAACTCTCGAGATACAGAGTATAGAACTGGAGGAGGTTCTCATTCTCAACAACTTCGGTTTGAAGTACATACCAGCCCGTCACAATCCCTCAGCCCTGAACCGGAAAGAACAAGTCGTCTTCGCTTCGTCAGCTAAGTCTCGCATGGCAGCAGCACGCGACTTCTGTACGGCAGCAGTCGCCAGACTCCTTCAGGGGACTTGGGCTTAGGGCTTAGTGTCTCGAGTTCAGGGGACCTGGGAGTCGATGGTCTTCGAAAGCAGAGTCGGAGTGTCAACAGGTTCGAAGGGCTTCGGGCCCTGGTCCCAGAAGTCCCAGGCCTGGCTGTCTGAACGTTCTCGGAAACCCAGGATCGCACACCGTTGGTGCGCAGGGAGCTGTAGCTGGCACCTCGGTGTCAAAGCGGGTCGAAAGTCATAGGGAAGGACTCCAGATTTTTGTTTCACGGGTTCGTGGCCCCTTGTACATCCTCTGTGCCGGTGCGAAAAGGAGTTCTCTCCGCTCTGTGCAGGCTTGAAAAGTAGTGCCAGTTCGCTTGCGAGGCAATCACACAGTAAATCTGCCGGCTTCATCTCCAACCCCTCCGCATGCAGCACGGCGCAGCAGGGACGATTCATCAGTTACCCGCAACTCGAAACCCTGAAGCATAAGTGGATGCCCAGCCAACGACGGTAAATGTGCCTTGATAACCTGCAACCACACCACCCGTGAAGGACACACAAAGTCACAAAGACATCAGAGAAATTGTTACGAAAACGGACCAAACAGGCAGGTGTTCGCCAGCTGCCGCCAATTGTAGCGTGAGCAGAACTTTAAGGCCCTGACCCACGGCCTCCTTGGCCATCTGCGCTCGACGGACACCGGCGTCCTACACAGAGCAAATCCACGAGTTTGACATGTGCAGTTGAGTCAAAACTGCAAATTCGCTCGAGATAACCGCTGCACTCAAAAGCGGCAGAAGCCAGCGGCCACCACAACACCACTATCAACAACAACAACAACAACAACCACCAACAACAACAACAACAAACA